TGCCAAGAAAAAGTGGCACACTCGGTGATGTGGCCCGCTCGGTGATGGAATACGTTATAGTAGAACTAGTAAGTTGAGTGCCAAAGGAATACTTACGTAGTCACATGTGTTGGTGCGCGGCATTTGGTCGAGGATGTGGTCATAGCTTAGCTTCGGTAGTTGCTGACGTGATCCCCAACCCCCCTCGACTCCGACTTCCCACTAGCTCCCTCCTCCTGCACTTACACCTACCACGATCTCTTGACACCACCACCTACGACCACTGACGCCCCTTCTATACCACTCGTCGCTCGACTCCGTCCATCATCCTTGTGGAATTCACAAGGCCTTTGGCGTACTGGCCTAGCGACTCCGCTCACGCGCAGGTGCCACGTCGCTACGCCATTGGGGTGGTTCGCAGGCTTACGCGGGTGACATTGTCAGGAAAGGCAGAGGGCGACGGTTTTCAGGAGCGTGGTGTTGGCGACAGAGCCAGGACGGCTGGCAATGATGTGCTAAGCTTTGGTGGGTGGGCTTCTGCGTGACGCGTTTGGGACGCAGGAGGGTTACTCTGGTGAGTCCAAACACTCATGATTTGAATCGGTTAAATGGATCACAGAAATGTACATCATATCGGCAAAATCCCAGCCCTAGCACGGACAGGAGAATCAGCGTCGTATTTTCTCTGTAATTTCGTCTTCAAGCATAAGGCGCGGAATTCTAGGGCCTCCATATGTCTTCAGCCATGGCTCCTTGTGGAGCAGGACGCGCAGGTGCGCCCCTCTACAATCATGCAATACGACCCTGCCAACTTGAGCCACGTCTCATACTCGCGTACCTCTGCGGACTGGACCAATCCCATATGGCTACGTAAAATCACGCGAGGCAGAGCAAATCCACACGTACTCTCACTTCAACTCATCCACCCTGCCATAGTATGGATCCATGATGGAAAGCCCATGCAGCCTAGCTGCAATGCGCCAGGCTGTCTCGCAGAACTCGCCAAAGCTACCAAGATTGACGTTCTGATCGATGATAACTTTCTTCATCCGGATTGGAAAGCACTGTTCCTGCGCTTCGTCGCACACACTGCAGAATTCGACTCGTTCGGAGTTGAATACAACCGAACACATACGCAAGCGGACTGGCGCTTCTTCGCCCCGATTGAGATCGAGGGGGGGAAAGAAGATCGTTATTGCGATGATGCTGCACCGCCTCCGTACGCTGATAACCAAGCCTCAAAGAAGCGGCCTGCACAGGGTATGTCCAGCGCCTCATTCCATTCACTTCCAATTGACATAATTAAACCAAACAAACGTAGCAATAAGCCCTAGATCCCCACTTTCACCAGCCCCAAAACGCATCTTTGTAGGCCAAGAAAAGATATCCTTTGATCGCGGATCCACCACCGAACCAAACACACCCACCACTATCGATGAGTCTCCCCACCCGAACCCCAGACTCATCGATCCACCTGCTCGCTCGCCGACGCCAACGCCAACACCTAGCCCTACACACTTGCAGCACGCACTCGTCCATTGTATACGAAATCTTCCAACTTCTGTACTCGTAAACTTCATATCGACAATGTTGACGGCACCTACAATCCTCGAAATGATCACCTCCTCCATAGCCCCCGACGTCCTCTCCACCCTCAACGACCAGGTTGATGACTGCGTGGCCGAGGCCCACGTTAAGCTGCGTGAAGACATTGATGATGTGCGGCTGGACCTGAATATGGTGCGTGATGACGCTATAGAGGATTTGCAGGACATGAAAGACGTGTTAGTGGGGGAATTGAGGGATTTGGTAGCGAGGTCAATTGATGAAGATGCTTTTCATCACGCGGGCCTTGATAACAACAGCCATGAGTATAATAAATGTCACTTGGCAATTAGTCACGGCATATGTCGATGCAGATGCAGATGTGAATACTGGCAAAGCTACGACTGCCAGGAGGGGCGAAGAGATACCTCACTACAGAAATCCGCCGGGTCGCGGAGGAGATGGGGAACGGCCAATGGTAGAATATGCGGGAAGGGCGGGTATTTAGGGTTAGGGAACAAGATGAACTAAAATAACAAGGGGAACGACAAAACACACTGGTATACCAGTCTTTGTTCAATCAGGTGCTTGTGTTTGACATTGCCATTTCAGAGGCTGAAAAAGCTATAGAAGTTCTAGGAAATATACAATATATTGGTGTAATATTAGTAGTAGACGTAAACCGTCTCGTTACTAATCCATATCAAACGCACTCTGATACTAGTTGTCTTCGGCAGAGTTTCCGTCCTGTATATCAGAGATTGATCCTGCGCCTGAAACTGCAGTCCAGTCTGGTGCCTATTTGTTGACCAACAGCTGTGCATACTCTCATTGTTGCGGATATGCAAGCGTCTGTTGTTCTTCTCATCGAAGTCTATGAAGCACAAACCCCAGGTGGAACATCAGAGGACATACCGATGCAGGAAAATGCTTTACCACCAGTAACAGAGACATTGTTCCAACTCCATTGAGTGCAGTTCGCACAGGCAATGGCAACGTTGGTTCCAGTGCTGGCTACAGCGCCGGTACCAGTGATGTTCTCTATAGTCAAGGCAGTGAGAGGCACTCCGGCACCGGGAGCGTGCGTCTTTGAGAGGTCACCTCCGTCATAATTCTGCTCGATGAGGATGCCATATCTGAAGATGAGTTAGCGTGATGTTGATTTGACTGAGGCAATGGAAATATATAGAGGCGTCGAGACATACTTGGCGATTCCAGCAAGAGTGATATCTCTGTAAGTGACCGAGTCGATTATGCCAGTACCATCAAAGAAGGATTTCACACGCAGTCCATTCGCGGAATTCGTGACGCTGGTGTTGAGAAAACGAACGTGACGAACAGTATTGCTGGCGGCAGTGCGTGCGTGCCCCACTGAACCAACAGAGAGGCCATGGCCGCCGATGCACTGTCCGTTCTGGAAGGTGATATTCTACGCCTATCGTCAGCTACAGCATGTTGGCCAACAAACGATCCTGCACTAACCGTCCCAGAGTTGATTGCTACGCAGTCGTCCTGGTTGTGCACTATTGCAGAATCGATAACAATGTTGGAGCTGCTCGAGGCAATGTCAAAACCATCCGTGTTGTGGCCAGACTTGTTCAGAGGCAGGTCATCACTAGCCGAGTTATCGATAGTCATGTGACTGATTGTAAGTCCATTGCAGTGGTTAATGCTCACAGCCTGAACAGGCGTGTTGAGAAGATAGAGGTTGTTGATTGAGGAGGCGCCAATCAGGCCTTGGGCAGTTAGGAACTTTGGTTTCGATGAGTTTCCGTTACTGCCTAATCCATCCCAATACTCCGGACCTTGGCCATCCAGTATAGCACCAGCCGCGCCGGTAACAACGATATTCTTGCCACCAATGGTGAGGAGAGGTCCAGCGAAGCCTTTGCGAACACTCCAAGTCGTTCTGCCCTGAAATGTGACAGTTGTTCCGTCGGCTAGTCCGGTAAGGTCCAGTGTTTTGCCAGCCGGGACTGTAACATTGTTGATTGTGAGCGATTGGCACACCGACAATTGGGTAGCCACGGAAGTGACATTTATCGCTCCAGAGAAGACACAGTCGCCTCGACGTCTATTAGCTTCGGCGGGAGAACGATAGGCAAAGCCCTCAGGGACGGCAGTCGCGAATATCGCCAGGGCAGAGAAGAGCAGACTGAAACGCAAGGCAGGCATGGTGAAGTCTGATAAGAGGTAAATGGAAGTGATTGTCAAGCAGGTTGTCAAGACCAGGTGCTTGGGTTGGGTACATAGATGGGCTTCTCACAACCTTTATAGCGGCTGGAAGGAGTTCAGCACAATCTTCGGGCAAAGTGGATAAACTCTGTGCTTGATGATATTCACGGTACGAAGACTTGACTATCAGCATCTGGAAAAGTCTGCAGAATAAAGCCGCATTTGCGAATTAAAGACATGGAGCAGCCTGGCTATCACGAAATTAGGACAGCGGGAAACAAAGAACAAACGGCTCTCGCCTACAGAAACTCGTTATTGCTTATAGCTATGCTGGCTTCATATCGGCCCGCTAGTCGTCGGCATATTTCCCAGATCATAGTGGCTATTTTTGTAGACGCTGCAAAAACCGAGTGAAAACCTTGCTAGCAGGTCCGTGGCTGCTCGGGACTCGCGCGAGTTACCAACATGTTCGAAGTGGGAAAGATATCCTTTGGAGTGGTCATTCAAGTAGTTTGAAGCTGTCCCGCCTTTTCACACATCAACAGTTGAACGACATCAATTGCCGCCAAGTGCTTCTACCGTCCTGCATAAATGATCCTTTGTCATGGTAGTGACCGCCCTCCCCCAAATGAACCAGAAAAGTCTCCTCTCACATAAGACACTTGGTTACAAAACACTAATTCACCACTATGAACCTTGTCAGCATGTGAAAACCTCCCTATACAAATTTTTTTCCAAGCCTGTCGTTTCAATTCAATTTTTTTTTCCAACTAGCGCAACCAATAGAAGGTAGTACAGTGGGACTTTAGACTATAATCACGCTTCTATAGCTATAGCATTACTATACTTTGTAATAACTGCATAGCTTATATTATGACTATAATACAAGGTAGTATAGAAGAATAACGTAATCGTAATGACAGGCCGCACCACCTCATCAAAAGAAATCGAACAGTCGCTAACTGTGTTTGGCCTAGTACTGTTCGATTTATTTTGATGAGGCGGTGGGCGTGTGATTCGACTAGACTACATGCTGTTGAAGACGCTGCGTAGAGCTTAATCGGATGTTTGAAACACTCGCCTCGGACATTGCCAGTATGGTTCTGACAGTATCCGAAGGGTGCTAAATTTTCGACGCGTGGGCTTGCCTGAGACAGAATGCGCGGCTGATGTGCTAGACGGATTACATGGCTCCAGCCTCTCTTATCCATGGATCATGGCAGTAAAGTATGGGCCCACGCATGCTCAGACGGCACATGTCGATATCAATTCGTAAAAGCCGGCTCATCACCAAGAAGACGAAAGTTACAATGTTCTCGAGATATGGTTAGCTTAAGCCGAAATCCCGGCTATAAGTCTTGAGAGGTGACATATGGCCCTATTTTTGGCTCGCTACCTGGATCTTGGACAGAATGTACTCGCCTAGCGAGGATCCTAGACTTCGTAAGCGGGAATCTCTAAGATGGGTGTGGCGGAGCAAATATAAGAAGTGTTCAAAGAGACGGTGCATCTCACTTGGTGCATTTCACTTGGCTCTGTAAGATGCTCCTGGCCAATGTAAACATCATGTCCTTTGAATGCTTTTTAGCCATGTATACACGGCTGTTGGTGAGTAAATTGGCAGCAAAGCAAGCTGGAGTAGCTGTGGCGATAGGCTGTAGTAGCCAGAGTGGGTGGTTGTAATAGTAGGTGTAGGCACCGGTACTAAAGTGCACTAACGTGCAGGGTCAGTAAGCTGGGCAGATCAGTAAGCTGGGCACCCCACCAAACTTCGCGCGACGTTCTGCGCAATTGAGCCACAATAACGTATTAAAATAATATAAAATTAAGATATATAGTTTACTATTTAGCTCTAACGTATGTGGCAAGCGAGCGCCGCAGGCAAGCGAGCGCCGCACCCCACCAAACCTGCG